TCGTGCACCTCGACAGGCAACGTGCAACATTTACAGCGTCCCACTGCTTATCCCGGGGAAGGGGAGTTCACTCTCGGCTGGGATGTGCTGTCTGCTGGGTTGGTGGCTCCCGGCCTATGGATAACGCCCATAACCAAAAACGAGAAGCCAAAGCAAGGGCAGAGGCTCTGGGATTACTCCCAACTCAATATAAAGTTGTAAAATTTGCATTTGAGAAGAAAACGCAAAATTTAAAATTATTTCTTAATGGCTGATACATTCTTCATGATTGAAAAAAAAAAGAGAAAGAAAGTATTGAAACTTTATATAAGAACATTGGGCAAGAGCCCCTAGGAACTCCTGCTGGATGTGTCGTTCTCTGCCACAATTTAACATTTATAGGACTTGGATGTGCTCATCCTGAGTGTATGTGACACCAGGCAAATGTCCAGGATCTCAAAGTGGTCAAAACGAAACAAGTTCCACAATTTTTTAGTGGCATTTGGCTGGTTTCCAACACTAATAAGATCTTGGCTGAAGTCATGTATTGCTGGCTCTTTCAAAATCACCAACTGAATACTCTTGATGTTTTAATTGTCTGTGATTTCTTGTCAGCAGTACAAGGAAGGTCACAGAATTTTCTACTCCGTTCCTCCTCTCTCAGGAAAATCTTGGCACTGTCAACAGATCCAGCTTCTGACAGCTGCAGTGCACACCTGCATCTTAAGGATGCCCAGTGGGCAAATGGCCAGTTGAGTTAAAGCTGAGGGCACTATGTCAGACTCGTACCTTGTAAATGGAATTAGCCTTATTCAAATTTTTTCATTTGGGAAGCCCGTGCACAAAATGCCTGGAAGGCATGGATAAATGATGCCTCCCTGGCTCCTAGGGAAGATGTTGCTTTATAACCTAATGGACTGTGGACTTCAGACAACCTAAAATGTGCCTGAAACGGTGTCCTACAAATATACGTGCTGTGTACAATCAGCCCACGGTTCTCAGCCTATCTGGGCCCACTGTGTAAAATGAAGGCAGTAATGACTTATTGGCCTAAAGTGATCCATGACTGTCCAACTGCACGGTCTATGAGTCAGGCTAGATGCGTGGGCTGCATGCTGCCTGAACTGTACTCATTGTCTCTGCAGCCAAGGTTTCTTTCTTCTTTTTTTTTTTTAATTGAAGTACAATCAGTTACAATGTGTCAATTTCTGGTGTACAGCACGATGTCCCAGTCATGCATATACATATACATATTTCATATCAATGTTTCTTATTGCAGATGACTCAAAGTCATTGCTAGATCCTAACGCCTCCAAAGTATAACAGCTGAAGATGCACTGATACGTATCAGCAAAGTGGGAAACTAAAAGAAAATGCCTGAGAGACCAGTGGACCAGGGATGCACTCAGCCTCATAAAGTCACAACTGTGGAGGCTGCAACGTCCAGCCTAGGAGACCAGTTTTAAAGCCATATCAGCAACACCATCCACATGAACCAGCTCACTTAAAATGGAAAAGGCAGGATCCCCAAAGTTCATCCATTCATTCACTCATGTCTTCTCTTGACCACACTCTCCTGGTTTCCCTCCTTGGTCTCTGTTCTGCATCTACTTTCCCTCACTGTCCTCTTGAGTGCCTGCATGCTCAAGGCCTGGTCTTCAGTCCACTTCCCTTCTCCAGCCACACTCACGCCCCACGGCGATATATTCATTCCATCAATACCCAGGTGATGCCTAAATTCACGCCACTAGCTCTCACCTCTCTCTCAACTGCAAACTGGTATATTCAGTTTAATTTTACTTAGAGGAGGAATTTTAAAGACAAGCAACAAACAAAGCACCAGAACAACCAGAAAAACCTATCAGATGGCTCAAAGTAGCTTACAAATCATCCATTTGTCTGAATTCTGTGACTGTGTAATTTATACGCTGAGGACTAGAGGAAAGGCGAACACCATCTCTCTAAAGTGTTTCACATACAACTGTCACTTATATGTGCTCAGCACTGTATCTGCTTATCTAGGTAGTCCCAGGCTTTGAAGAAGTTATGTTTCAAAACCCTTTTGGTACATTAATATTCTGTGTCTTAGGACACAGGTTTTTAGAGTAGTATGCCTTGGCCATAGGACTTTCTAGCTTTCTCCCAAGTTCTCCTGTCCTTTTTCTTGACACTGACACCAGCTTAGTTCAGGCTCTCAAGGCCTACATTATTTCATTCCCAACACAGTGATTTCTGGCTCTCTGCCTGTATCCACATCAGTTACACCTGCATACTACAGCCACACCGACTCTCCTAAAACGCTCTTCCATCATAACTGCTCAGCAATCTTGTGGTTCCCTTCTGCCTATAGAATGTAAGAGAACTGCAGACCAACAGGTGGGGCAGGGCTTAATGATGGAACTAGTCCAGTGATTCCCAAACAGCACTCTGAGGAACGACCGAAACAGAATCAGCTGGCAGTGCTTGTTACAAGTACAAACAACCAGGCTCTTCCAGAGCTGCTAACCCCCCATCACCCGGGTTGGGTCCTCAGGCATCATAGTTTTCACAAGTAACAACATTTTGGGGCTATGACCTCGTCTAAGGCCCCCTTTAATGTTTGACTGTCCTCCGTAACATCCCCACTCGTCTGCAGCGATGGGGAACTAGCTGTTTGATAAGCAACAAATTCACCTTTGGGCGTCACTGACGGTGTGCTGGTGGTAGCTCTGCCCTTTGGAGCCACACGGCACAAGCTCATTCCTCCCCACGCCGTAGTGAGTCTCATAATCAGCACAGCTAGCCTGCCTCTGATGCCTTCTCCTTTGGGGGCCACTGTTCCCATTCCTTCACTGACCCCAGTATCCTTTCACTGGGACCCATCTGGATCTGTCTTAGCGTGTGACTCTCAGGGAGACAGCCCCAGATGTCCAGTGTGCTGTGATGGCCCAGGGAGGGGCAGGAGCACCTCCTTTTGCTACAAGCTCTGCTCCTTTAAGTAGAGTCTAGACTAAGATCACAGGAGCTAGCTCACTCTACTGACACACCTTGAAAGTCAAATTTTTATAACTTCTCCAGAGTTAAGGTGAAAATTCAGCTTGCACTTTACGGGGCAGTGCATAGACTTTAGAACCAGACTAAAGAGGTTCAAATCCCACCTCTGCCACTTACTACTGAGGGTCCCTGGGCAACTTCTTTAACCCCCCTGTGCCTTATTTCCATATCCATAAAATGGAAATAATAATTGTACCAAACTGATATGACTGTGGTACAGATTAAGGTTATATGTATGTGTACATACATACATACATTAAATATATACATATGCTTACATCTATGGCTTAGACTAGTACCTGACACATAGTAGTCGCTAAATAAATGTTACTATTATTATTCTGCCAAAAGGCCTATTGTGAGAACATCAACCATACTGAAAATGAGAAATATTATCCTGTTCAGTGTAATTTTGGTAACCACTCAATTTTTCTTCTTTTTAAAGCCCAAATACCTGAAGAT